TTCTAGCCAGCCTTACCACCCTGGGGAAACTTCTGTCCTAGGACTATCTCTTGGGTTCTACCCAGATCATTATTTTAGGAAACTTTCCAGTCATCTCCTCCATAGACTCACCAATTGCCTTCATCTCTTTTCTTACTGTGGCATTATTTATAGATGGTGTATCAATTTACTTCTCTAAGGCTTTCCTCATCATCTTTGTAACTATATAGACCAAATAGCCCCTTCCCTGGTGACCCTTGATGTGTTGCCTCTCCCACTAGAACCTAAGTTCCTTGAGATTGTCTTTGTTTTCTAAACTTGTATCCCTAGTACTCAGTACTATCCTTGGCAAATAGCACTTAAATGCTTTTTCATTGATTCATTCAATGAAGCTGGATGAATCAATCTTGTGATACTGAATATTACATTTTACTAATTTGGCTATTTAGGGAAAGGATGATAGATAAAAGTACTAGTTTTAAAAAACCAATCTCTTAGAATAGTCAAGAAGTCTTTGCTAGAATTTTCTAGTAACAAAATTTTAACTTCCAAAAATTGCCTTTAAATATTCTTCACTATACCAGGAATAGTTAAATAACCTTAACTACAGAATAAGAGTCTGCAATATAAAACAGTATAGAAAATTTGTTTACAGTACTACAAAAAAATAAGAGTGATGCTTGCAATCACAATGATAGCATGTCAGACCAATGTTCACTAAGATCAATGTCAGATCTGAAGAGTTTTCCTCTCCCTCTATTTAGATGGCTGTAGCAGATGTCTAGTTAATAATTGGTAGACTGAATGGAAAGGTTATGCACTATAAAGGAGAAGGTGCCTTAAGACAGAATGTATTAAAAGAATATACAGGCTTTCTGGACCTTTAGCCATGCATAATTTGAGCTTAATCATAAAACCTATTGTTTTTTCTAACAAAACCCAATTAGGTTCTTTATTTCCTTTAATTGGAGTCTTAAGCTACAAGTTTAGTCCAGTTTTGCCTTGAACTCACAGGATGAACTGAAGTTGGAAGGGACCTTAGAACACAGCATTTTAAAGCTTAGAAGGAACTCTAATTTTACATAGGTGACAGAAAAGGAAAGGTGAATCAATTTATTTGCCTCAAGTTGTAGCTGGGACCAGAACTCTAATCTCTCAGCTTCCAGTCCAATATCCTTTATACTATGCCTGGCTTAGGATAGTGCTTGGCACAATGTGTTGGAAATATTTTATTTGACCCAAATGAAATAAAGGAGGAGATTATTTTGTCAATAGTTTTCAGTGGTTATCTTTTAAAAAACTAAACCTACATGTTGAAATATCAGTATGTTATCTTAAATGAAAATTGGGTATATTGTAGATCTGTAAAGAACTTTCTTTTTAAAAAGAATGATAAGACAGTAACCAGTATGCCTTTGTATTATTTTCCTAGAATAGACAGAGTGGGATTTTTTAGGATTGGTAAATAACATCCTATAGAAAGTTTACTTAAATGGAAGTATTTGTTTTTAGTTATCAAGTAATTTTCAATGAATGTTGGAGTTGAAATGGACCTGAGATATGATCTAATCAAAGTCTTTTCCTGATTACATGAAACAATTCTATGACATTTCTGAAAAATTCATTTGGCCTCTGCTTGGATACTTCAAGTAATAAGGAATTTATTATTTCATTAAGCAGCTCATTTCACTTTTGGACAGCTCTAATTGTTATGAAATGTATCCTTATATTAAGCAGAAATCTGCTTCCTTTTAATTTCCTCCCATAGAACCCAGGGTCGCCTTTTGAAGGCACAAAGAACATGTCTGATGCCTCTTCTACACGGTAGCCTTTCAGATATTTGAAGTCCCAGTTTCTTCAATCCATCCTTATGGCATTATTTCAAGTCAGCCCTTCTCTAGATTTTAATAACATCTTCAAGGATTACTAAATAAAAATTTATAAAATAGTTGTTATTCCACAGTAGTGAGTAAAATGTGATTAAGAATCCTAGATAAAAATCATTCCTGGATTTCACAGCAAGATGCAATGTAAAACTGGTACATGTGCTTGGTAAGTATTTCATCATCATCTCAGCCAGCATGTATTTGAGCATCAGTTTATTTAAGAGTAAAAATTACATATGTCCCAGGATAAATTCACATAATTAAAAGTTTAGCAAAAGATGAATAGTGAGAACTCAAGAGGGGCAAATGATGGCTAATTTTTAGGGTTAATATTAGAGAAGAAGAAAAGTGAGGGGGAGGCAGTAGCCTGAAAATGTACTGAGTAGTACAGGGTTTGTAGGTCTCAATGAGAGCAAAGAATAGATTTACTAAGGGTGAAGCATAGGGAGAAATTGCTCTCCAGAATGGTTGAATCAGTATACAACTTCACCAACAGTGTATTAATGTTTCAATTTTCCCTCATGCCATTTCCTTTTCCAGCTCATTTTACAGATGAGGAAACTGAGGCGAACAGGGCTACGTGACTTGCCCAGGGTCACACAGCTGTTAAGTGTCTGAGGCTGAAATGGAGCCTAGGAAGATTTCTGACTTCAGGTCCAGCCCTCTATCCATTACGCTACCTAGTTGACTCTTTTAGGAATATAGCTTAGGATAAACTATGCTTCAGACTTTATGGGAAATCCAGTTTACCATTTAAATCAGGAAAAGGCTAAACCATCAAAGAACAAGTTTCCTGAAACTCCAATAGTGTGTTAACTACAAATAACAAGATCCTTACAAACAGCTTGAGCTTTCAAGACAGCAGATTTCTTTTCAGTGATTTCTTTAAGGGAAATTCAGAGAAGTCATCACAAAGCTACATGCATGACAAAGGAACTTTTGAAGTTAGGAACCAGGGGCTTAGTTGTCTATCCCAGAGGAGCTAGTTTTTTAGACCATGATAAAGAAGAACAGCAGCAAATAGAAGACTGAGAAAAGAAAACAACATACAGTAGTTCGGTGCCTGTTGTATTACACCCATGGCATCCATTTTTGTCAGTTTGTCTTGTGATTGCATGGTGTAGTAGAAAGAGCCAATAGACGATGAGATGGAAGACCTGTGCTTCAGTCTGCCACTTGCTAGGTGACAGGGGACTCATACTCTCTGAGCTTCATATTTATGATCTATAAAATAGGGCTAGTAATAGTTATTTCATAATGCTATTATGAAGATCAAATGAGATTTGTACATGTAAAGTGCTTTGTAAACTGCAATATGCTATACATACATATATGTATGTAGATAGATAAAAATAGATATTTTAAGTTATTTTAGACAAGGACCACCTTAGAATCTCAGAGCTGGAATAGATCTTGGAGGCCACATCTCATTCAAGCCATACTTAAGCAGGATTCCTCTCTACAACTTTTCCAACAAGGAGTCATCCAGACTCCTGTTTTTCATTTTTTGAAAGCTATTAGGAAGTTTTTCCTCATATGCAGCCAAAATTTGCCTTTTTAAAACTTCTACCCTTTGCTCCTACTTCTGTCTTCCAGAGCTAAGCAGGACAAAAATTCTCTCTCTTCCATATGTCAGCCTTTCACATAACTGAAGAAAAGAACATATCCTCCTCTTGCCTCCTTCGTCGTCTGTTTTCCAACACAAATAATCCAGTGTTTGTTGTATAGCATGATTTCTAGGCTAAAATGGGCAATCCAATAGAATGCAAACTCTTTGAAAGCAATGTCCCACATAGCACCAAGTGTGTTATATGTTAAACATGCAGAGATCCCTAGCACAGCAAGCCTAATGAAGCAATTCCTTTCCTGCTCTCCCACACTCTGATTTCTTGAACCAGAGCCCATACAAAAGAAGTAGTCATTGCAATGCTGCTCCATAGGGTTTGGCTACCTTTTGGATGACAACTAGCTTAAACTCTAGCCACTGACCTCTGCATTTTAAGGCAAACAAGTTGAAAAATGATGGACAGACCCTATATTCCACATACAAAGGCTACACTATTGCCTTAGTAGGAAAGTTAGTTAGAGAAGTGGTAATGGATTTGTCTTCATTTTTTCTTTCAAGTCATAGACTTATGGACTATCAGAGCTAAAAGCGAATTCTGGGATCATTTAGTCCATCTCCTTCATTTTAACAGACAAGAAGACTGAGGCTCAGAAAGATGAAATGACACTTGTCAGAGGTTACATAGCCAGTTATTGATAAAGCTGAGACTAGAACTCAGGTCACCTGACCTCTAGGGCAAGATTATTTTCACTATACCATGCATTTGGAAAGTGGTTAGCTAGGGTTAGAGGTATAGTCTCTGGTTGGGGAAACAAAGGAAATAAAGGTCAAATCTACCAATAAGACCACATTTACATAACATTTTAATAAAGTCTTTCCCTCAGAACAACTCTGTAGACAAACCAGTGTAAGTACTATTATTGCCATCTTAAAGATGAGGAAACTGGCTCAGAGAGATTAAGTGACTTGCCCAGGTCTTTTTCTGCCTTCAAGCAGAATGTTCCTTCCATTAAACCATACTGCCTTCCAAAATCTGTGTCCTGAATTGATTCACATAGTATTTTAACTAAGAAGTGCACTGGAATTATTTTCTGGGTTTTCTGTAAATGGAAATCAAAGGAGCCAGGTTCTTATACCAGTTCTGCTACTTATTTACTATTTGTCCATGGGCAAAACACTTAACTTTTCTGAAGTTTAATTTCTTAATTCATAAAATGGAAATAATAATATTTTCATTACCTACCTCATAGGTGTGGTGTGAGAATCAAATGAGATAACAGATGCAAAAGCATTTTAGTTATGTCAGCCATCATTATACATTGTGTAGTTAACAGAGAGAAAAATAGTAACAACAGGGGAAACTTTGACCAAATTAAGTGGATTGCAGATTAAATGGTAGACAATGCTTGGTCTCATGTTAGATGTAAAGCAGACATCCTTCTCCCTGTGAACATTAAGACTCCATGTGGGAAATTAGCTAAGACCCATTCCAAGTGACCTCACTTCTCTGGGAAGTAGAAACTCATTTCCCCAAAAGAGCACCTTCTTCTCGTACTTCATCTGCTTACCTGCTACAAGTTGGGCTGATGGCTCCATGGGAATTGCAGTCACAAGAGAGACAGAGCCCTTGGACATTGGTGCTGGTTGGGTAAAAGCCCTCCTTGCAGGAGTCACAGTGAAGCCCTTTGTAGCCTGGATGACACTCACACTGCCCTGTGGTTTGGTTGCATCGGTTCCCATCCAGGCTTCCAACTATACTGCAATTACACATGTGTTCTGCAATAAAAGAAGAAAAGAGTTTTCATCAACCAAGCATCTAATGCTTTCCATATATATAGGGTCACAAGCTTTTTTTTTTTATATAAGGCTTCATAAGGCTTATAAGAAGAGAGGCAATTAATTTAACCTCTCTTTCTTCTTGAAGAAATGACTTCTCAACATTCATCTTTTGGCCCCTAAGTATGTCTGTACTTTGTGTTTCTTTGGAATGGAAATATCAAAAACAGGGCCTCCATTTCTTTCAGTCATAGGCACTTTCTTGTATGACATGAGTGATGAACACAGGTTTATTCAATAACTTCAATGCACAGTTGCATAAGCATCCGTAGATGGATAATTATAGTAAGCTATAGCAGGATACAGAAGATAACAATATGGTCACATTTACATTGTGTTCTATGGTTTACAGAGTACTTTGCCCACAACTCCTCTGTGATGTAGGTAGTAAAAATAGTCTCATCTTTATTTTACAGATGAGGAAAATGATATTTAGAGAGAAAAACTGAACTTCCCCAATGACTTACCACCTAGTTGGTAAATGATACATCTGGCACTCATACATACTCAGGTCTTCTGACTCCCAGTCCAATGCTGTTTTATGGTATATCACATCAACTCTCACAAAATATTTCCACAGCCAGAGTCAGAAGATGTAGCTATTAAATTTCTAGTAAATGGTTTAACATGTTCTTCCCACAACAAGAAATGCAAAAGATAATTCATTATTTAAGGATTAGTACATCATGGGCTCTTCACTAAAGTCCTCTATTGCCTCATCCTAGAAGGGAAGTGACCCTAGCTTCTTAAAGGCTAGGCCGTTAGAATGTAGGTTCTGGCAGCCCTGACCATACTGGAAAGGCTTCATGAATGAATCATAATGAACTACTACTGTTCTGTCCCTCAAGTACCAGTTTAGCCAAGTTCAAATACATTTTCATTACCAGTTTGGCGACAAGGTGATGAATCTTTTTTTTTGTCCACAGCATTTTTTATAGACATCAATTAAGTATCCAAACAAATAAAATGACAGATCCTTGAAGTATATCACAAGCAATAAATATCTAGTAAGGTATACAGGTTCATCTTGAATAATATTTTAAAATTATCCATACAATTCTGAGACTATGGAATTTCCCATATAAAACAACTACTGGAAAGTAAACCTTTTATTTGGAAGCATCTTAATTCAAACATTTGTAGGGCTAAAAACATTTCCAATTTGAAAATATTCATCCTTTCAGTAGAACACACATGGTAGGGGGAAGGAAGGACAAAGAAGACTGATAGCCAGGATTCTTTGGAGCTGTTTTGCAAATACATCCATCCTTTGTGTGAACAGCCTTCCCAAGAGTCATTAATACCATTCGGCATATGTAAGAATTTCAAAAGGCTTATTGCTAAAATGAAGTGTAGACAGGATCCAGCCAAACAGAAGCAGTGTAAGTTGAAAAATACAGGGAGGTTTAAAGTTCATTGTATACTTAAGGGTTGAAAATTTTGGATTTGAGTCTATGCACTGTCACTGAGTAGTTATGAATAAGTCTTCTAACTTCCATGAACCTTAGTTTCCTCATCTGAAACATAATATTTATGTTACCCACGGCTTTACCCTTCTATGTGATATAAAGTGTAGGTTATCTCAAGCCTGTGTCTAAGCTAGACCACCAACTTCCTTCCACGATGAGGATTATGACTGTGATTACAATATCTATGTGTGACATCTCTTTGACAGGGTTCCCTTTTTCAGGGTTTCATTTCACTCTTTTTGAATATGTGGTTTTCTATTTATTGGCATGAAAATCTGCCAAAGGTAGTTTTGTGGCAAGACTCTCACTCCAAAGAATGAAAACAGCTCTGAGAAGGACATTTCTATTTCTTCTGGAAATTGGCAGAAGTACACCATACATTCAAGCTGCTTTTGCTTGACCAATTTTACCACACATTAAACTAACCAAACTGGACTGGCTATGGGTAAGCCTATCTCAAGTGACAAAGACCAACAGACCCTATAATCAGTGTGGAGTATTTTATTCCATTATTCCACCAATGATGCACTTCCATCCTGGAAACTGAATCATTGTCCCAAGTGGGTAAGATAAGATTAGTGACTGCTCTCCCGCACCCACCCTACCAAAAATAAAATAAAATAAAACTAAGTGAGCCTAGGTGCTATGGAGGAAGGGAAAGCAACAATAAAACAACAACAAAAACCATCCAATCGTCTAACAACATGAACAATAACAGAACACCCAATCACCCAAAGCTAATGGATAAACTTTCAGTGGTAACCAATCATCTAATGATCTGTCTGAACAAACAGGATGGTCTCTTTATTGCCCTCTAAACATGCCAGCAATTTTGTAGATGGGATTATTGGGAAATTGGATTAGGTGTCCTTTAAGGTCCTCTCCAACTAATATTTGATATTTTAAAATTTGGTGCTCTGCGCTCTAATGTCCATTCAAACTCAATCATTCAATGATGCTATATCACTTTGTTCATAGTCACAGACACAGAGTAGAAAGTGGTCAATTATTTTAAGTCATTCATAATTTACAGATGCCAAGATCTGCTTTAACTGCCTAGGGTTTTTCTTTCCACAGATAAACATTTTTCTTCAACTATAATGGGCAACTGTTTTAAAGATGGTAAAATTCAAGACTAAAACCTACTAATATATTTTGCCTTTTAATAGTATATAGAGGTCAGAATAGGCCATCAAGCAACACCTGTTCTTTATAACTTTGACATAGCCTGAAAAATGAGGCTTATAGTGGGGGGAAAATATAAAATAAGAATAATTAGTCATCTTAAGACTTGATAATAAGCTTGGCATATCAAATTTATCTATACTTCTTTCAGTACAAGAATCACCACTTAGAAAACTGTGAGTAAAAAGGAGTAATGATGTCTATTGCTTTACATTCAAAGGATCTTATTGCAACAGGAGCATAACATCATAAATCACTTTCCTCCTTTCCATAGAGGCGAGCATTTGCTCGAGGCCAAGTTGCTTCCAGCAGCTTTCAGCAACTTAAGGAGTTCTAATTTGATGTGTGTGCAGGACAAAAGATCTGTGCTGAGAAGTTACTGTTGATGAGATACAAATAAACTGCTTCACTTACGCTGAGCTGTGCCAGAAAACCCAAATATATTGGGGGCAAGAGAATGGGACTAATTCTGAAATCTAGCTTACCACGAAAAGTCAAGAACTCCAGAGTAACCAATGCAAATGCAATTTCAGTAGAGGATTCAGAAATTGCAGTAACAATATGTACCATACGCTGAGTAATCCAACTCTAGGGATAAATTCATTCTGTTCATTACTATGATGGTTTTGGACAAGTCCTGGGAAACTGAATTAGTTCTATGTTCTACAGAAATTTAAAAGGGGCATCAATTTAAGGGAGAAGTAAAGGAATATCTATGACACCAAGCTCCATATTCATACATATATAACCTGTCCTACAAATTAGGAGACAACATGATGTAAAGAGTACAGATTTAATAATAAGGTTCAAGTCTTGACTATGATGTTTATCAGCTGTCTGATTATGACCTGTGTGATCCTTTACTGTTTTGAAACTATGTTTTCTCATCTGTAAAATAGGTATAACTATAACTGTTCTATCTACCTCACAGTAGGGGTATGAGAAAAGTGAATTCAAAATTTTTAAGCACTGTGAAAATGGGTTATCACAATATGCTAGGGTTTCAGAGAATGTTAAAAAAAAAGTAAGTCAAATGTTGGCATTTGTCTACCTTAAGAAGAAATGAGGTCATGGGCACATATTTAGGAAGGGGAAGTAGACTAACGTGGGAGAAGGAAAAAGATGTGCAAGGGTACTCGAAGGCAAAGATCCCTAGTCTCTGTCTTAAAACGCCCCAAAGCAAATCTAACCACTGCTCAATTCCATTGGCAACCTCAATATGGGATGCACCTTGCTAATTACCTAAGTCAAACGAGTATTAGCTAAATTAATGCAAAGCCCAGTGTGTAGTGTGGCAGAATTGATATTTATTAGATTCCAAATGAAGCCAGATATTGTGGGATTTTAGAAAAGAATGGAACCATCTAATCTTCTCCGCTTAGTTTCTTTGTTAGGAAACCAAGGCCAAGGGGAGATAAATAATTCACTCAAGAGAGGAACACAGGTCTGATTCAGCTTTTTTTCCTTTATAACCATGGCCTTGGTGATCCTTAAGTAACTAATGGAATTTAATTGCTAACCATTAAGCAGGCCGCACCCATATTTTCTCTATGTGCTTTTGAACTTGAGATTCAGAAAACCTAGTGGTATAACAGAAAGAGAACTGGATTAGAAGGCAAGAGACCTGGATTTTAATCCCACTTCTGCAGTTAACCAGTTATGTGACCATTGGCAACTCACTTCACGTGTCCAGTCAAATCAAATCAACAAGCATTTATTAATTGTTTACTATGTGCCAAGCACTGTACTAAGTGCTGGGGATATGATCACAAGTAAAAAGAAAGGCAGTCCCTGCTCACAAGGAGCTCACATCCTAGTGGGGGAAGACAATACATGAAAGGGAGCTAAAAAAGCAGGGGTGGAATTGGGTGGGTAAGGTACACCTATGTAGAGGAATAGTAGCAAAGAATGAAGAATGAAGAATGCCTGGTCTGGGCCCTTCCCCAAAATGGGGGTTACATGAAGATTTCACTAATGGAAGAAGGTGGCTACAAGGGAAGATGCAGCAAAGTATGGAGAATATTTAGCTATAATTTTCCTCATTTGTCACATGAGGGAATTAGATTAGATCATCTCTGCTATCCTTCCTAGCTTTCACATTTCAAGGTTCTAGTCTGCCTCTCACTCTTATCAGATGAGGCTAGTCAGTTATCAAGCATTTATTAAGAGTTTAGTGTGTGCCACAAATTATGCTAAGTGCTGGGATAAAAAGAAAAGCAGGAAAAGTCCCTGATCTCGTGAAGTTAATATTCTAAAGACCGAAACAAACATGAAAATAACTAGATA